CAGTGACACACAAACCTCCAACATTTTATGAGGATTGCATGCTTTATAGGATTTAATGGACACACAGTGCTGTGTGAAAGTTTTTATCACAATGACTACCATTTTTCTCAGTTTGTTCACGAATTAATCACTTCCACCCCATATTAGAGTAGTATCAAGACAACTCGAGGAAACGTCATTGCATGTTGATTTTTCAATTGCTGTTTATTTATTTATTCATTTATTTATTTATTTGGTAAGGGCCCGAATTCGATTACGGACATTCAGTTACCACCATGCAATAAAGACAGTCAAACAAAACCCGGAGCTGCACAACCGGAAACAACAGACCAAGCCGATAAAGCAGTAAAACACAACAAAGTGGTCGGCCTTAGCTGGCAGCATATCACAAAAGACAAAGCGTTATTCCGAGTTATCTTTGACATGAGAAACGATTTGAAAGGTACCAAGGACTTCAGTGACATTCCGAGAAATATGAGTCGTTTGGTTCGCTATAAAGATGGAAAATGGTTCACGGCTGAAAAAGATGGCTCTTTTCACCTCTACAATGCCTTCAGAAATGGAAAAAGCGGCGATCCTCAACAGCATAAAATATCTATCCTTGGTCTCGTGCTTTCCTTCAATCCAAACACCAGCGGGCTGACCCTTTTGTCACGTGATTTTGAAGCGTCGAGAGTGTTTTTCCCAAACCTTCACGATACACTGGCAGGAAAAGAGCTGGGGCGAGCCGTTTTAGATTCCAGTATCTCCGAGTCTGGTGTTTCAAAGCGTGAAACCTTAGCTGACCCTCCCTGCAATGTCAAGTGGTCAAATGCTCTCCGGTTTGATCCCACTGAAGCCAAAGGGAAGTGTCTCCATTTCACAGCCTCTAGTGAGGGAAACATTTTTGTCGTGTTTGCAACTTTACCGATCGATAAGACCTCTTGGTATTACATTAAAATTACACCTCAGAAAGTGGCTATTTACAAGGTAATGATCAGTGAATCTACGCAAATAGGTCTCCTTTTGCAGCAAAATGAGAGTCATTCTAAGCGAGATAGATGTAAAAAGAGCATTTTAGTCAGAAAACATGACAAATGTCCTCCGAAAAAGTGACGCCAAATTAAGTTGAAAATGAATCTATCTTTGGCAATTAAAACCCTTGACGTAATCCATGGGCATGCGCACACTAAAGGGCTTATCAGTAATTGCACCGTTAAAATACAAAACTATTGTAAGAAATATTATCTTCAATTCGTTTTCTGTCCACAGCAAAACTCAAAAGTAGCGTTTGCACATTCATCCTATTTTAAGAGCGTTTTAAAAAATTTCTCTTTTTCTGTAAACAAATTATCCAAAAATAAAGTGCGCGGAGTATATAGGGTGAGATTGAATAAGAAAAATAACGCACACTTTCTATTATCAGGGACTCGTACTTAAGACCTCCACGACAAACATCAATGCGAGAGGGCTGGGCGACCCAAACCTGCTTCAGTCATACTTTGTATGCGTCACCGAGTCCGAGTCGAGCACACTTATTGAATATGGTAAAACACTGGGAACCACTCAAAGTGGTGACGTGTATCTCAACATGCTTGACCTGGAAAAGCCGCTGAATGCTCGCTTTTACGCATTTGGGAATGGAGACAAGAAGGCTGACGTCATTGATGCACACATAGTGGCACGTGATCAAACAAAAGCCGAGTGTAAAGGCGACACGTTTATCGACCTGACCACAAGGTTGTGCACGCAAGAATGTCACGAAGACTGCGATCCCTTATACGGTAATTTATCTCGTACCTATCTTCGGCTGATTTTACCTTGGAAATTATGACGTTATGTCATGCAGATTCCGTTTCAGAAAGACAAATAAATGAGATCTGAAGTGTAATAGCCAACATGAAGTGAAATCCGTGGTATTACATGGAGCTGTCCCTATGCCTTTTGCCTGTTTAGGTAGGGGGTTGTGACTGGAAGTTGAAAATCAGTTGGGAAACCGTATTATACAATCGTTTCAGCCATTAGCTAGCTATGTTTATTTTCAAGAATTTCACCGATATCTTTTCTTTCTTCGTTCCCCGTCGTTTTCGGTATCCCCTTTAAATTTTATTTCCGACTATCTAGAATTTAAAACTAATTTAAAAGTTAAGGAGGATATTTTTACTTTACTCGTCACTCTTCTCAAAACCGATAAAGAGACATATTTTATTACATGGGGCTTTAAGCTGGTTCTTTTTAATTCATTTTTTTCAGGTTGTAACACATTGTCGTCGGGGAATCCTTTACCGACTGAGTGCAATGTTTGTCGAGTAGCCAAAGATAAGAATACCGGCAGCTGTCTTCCAGAGTGTCCCCCGGAAAAATTTCTCACAGCTGATAAGCTGTGTGTCGACCTCAGTTGTAAGTAAAGAGGCCGATGCCATTTAAAAGAGCTATTTTCAACTGAGACTAAAGTATTCCGGGATTGCACGAAATTTACTTTCTTTCGTAACTAAAATAGCTACGGTTCGTGTGAGACGACTCCTTGAGAGAATAACTAGACAGTAGCGTTACTGACACAAGCCTCACTTGAAGGCTTAGCAAGGCTTTGCCCTGGGCAAGCCAGGGCAAACAGGAAAAACGGCGCCAAAAAAACACCGGTAGCGTGATTTCCAGGTTGAGATGAAGAAATGGGAACCGTGCCTGGACTACACTCAAAGGGTAGCTCAGGAAAGAACGAGGTGAGAAAGTGAGATCGTCGATGGCCTTTGCTCCAGGAGGAGCTGGGGCGTATTTATCTCTAAAATAGAGATGCGCGCGCTCTGATTGGTCGAGGATTGCGTCATATCTCGCTAAAATCAACTCGCGCGAGGTGATCACAACAGGGGTGCTAAATTCTCAAATGGGTGCCTCGCGTTTTCTCAATGTTACTGAGGAAGTAATAGACGCGATTGAAGAAAATTCAATTCCGAAGAGCACAAAGATGCTACTAAGTTTGACGTAACACTCTTTAAAAGAAAGATATGACGTTTATGCTGATTGAATGAACTAAAACTGTTTCAAAATTCTACTGGAAACAGGCTGCTCATCTCGATACAAACCTATAAATCAAAACATTTGTAACAGAATGGTTTCAACAACAAAACAAATTTACAGCAGAATTCGAAAGCACCTGAGCAATAATACTAATACAATTATTCGCCTCAGGCTCGGTGAATATTTTTTAATAACCCCCTCGACTTCATCTTGGGAATTGTTCACCAATATTCACTTCGCCTTTGGCAAATGATAATTATACAACTGTTTCCTAGATAATTCTCCGCCGTTACCGGAGTTAATGAGTGTTCTTTTGTATTCGCATTATAGCAACTTATGACATGGAGTTCCAAACCGAGGACAACGCCCTAAGGGCGAGTGTCAGGGAGATACCTGAGTTACAAGCTTTAACCCTGTGCTTTTGGATTCGTCTTCCTCAAGGCTACAAGACAACACGTTTTCCCTACCCCATAATCGATTACAGAACTGGAAGCAATAGACTTGAAACAGTCACGGTGTACTTGTCTGAAAACCATGAGACAAAAGATATCAAACTGGAACTGACCTTTATAGTAGGAGGAGGGGAAACGTAAGTGGAAAGATTTCTTTTCGATGCACAAACTTGCTTGCATTGATTACTTTATGTACCCAAAGTAGCAGTCGAAAATCCCATATTTGAAGAAGAATGCAGAGCAGAACGGTGCGATCCTCAGTCCGCAAATCTTAGGTCTTTTGTACCGCACAGTACAGGAGTGACCTATTTTAGCTCTTAGCGGAAAGCATTATTGGTTCAGGTACTACTATTCTCGAGCGGAAAACTAGGGTTCAGTATAATAGCGAGCTCAATAAGGAAGAGTTTCCAGAGGCAGATAGCAATCTGGGATTCAGAGTTCTTTGAATTCCCTGGCGCATAATTTTTTTTGTAACGTTTTTCTTAAAAAAGAGCACTTTACAACTGATTGCTAGCGATCAACATTTATCAAGAGCGGCCGCATCCGACACACAATCGAAGTCCGAGGCGAAAGAGCGTCTTCGCGTCTGTGTCGTTTACAACTTTTCATCCTCGTTTGGCAACTGTGTACCCTCGACATTGCTGATCCTAACAGTACACAGGACGCGTGTCGCAAGTGAAAATAGTATCGCCTTAAGTCACCAACGAGTTCTCTGCTTTTCAGCGATGGAGGTCTGAGACTCGAAGCCTCGTGAGGGATGGTAAGCTCTTGTCAAAAAACGAATGCATTCGTTCTTTAGATGTCGATCGAGCTCGAAATCGAATTTTCTCATCAATCCTAGAAATTTGCAGGAAGCCTCACATGAACCTTGTATACTAGCCTTTCTCGCGCAAAGGCTGGAGATCTTCATACTTTTTATTTACCGTCTCTCTTCTTTTCTCTTCCCTTGCTGCGTTACCAATTATTAATTTATGTAATGTATTAATCCAGGTTATCAGTAGGCGTCTTATCAGATCAAAACTGGCACCAGATCTGCATTTCGTGGGCAGGCCACAGTGGGGTGACCATACAGTACTTAGATGGTGTGCGCAAGGTGGCCGACACTCGACACATAGGAACCTTGGAGGGTGGTGGAAGGCTGACAGTCGGTCATCACACAGAGTATGTTTATCAAATAACCGGCTTGCATCTCTGGGACAAGGTGATTCCTCCCGAAGAGATCGCCGAGTTTGCCACAGCGTGTGAAAAAGGAAATGGAAACGTAAAAACCTGGGCAGATTTTTACGATCTTGCGGTGGAAGAAAAAATCAAAATTAACACGCCTTCAAATTGTCGGGTAAGCCCAAGTGATGCTCAGTAAAAAGTATGGAAAATCTTGGCTTATATTGTCCCAGGTCACATTCAGAATAAAAGTCATTTGACGTCACGGTATGTTTGAGTCTGCGTTATCTTACTTGGGTGATTACTTTGATACGATGGAGAAAAGCTGGGACCCAGTTTAAGGATGGCTTAGGCGCTGAATCAAAAGAGAGTCAGAATAGTACGATAGTGAACTCAAGGACATACTGTGTGGATTATATTTAGAACAACAGTGATTGCACTTAAAGCTCATCCTGTGATGCCAAGAAACAGAATTGAGCCGTCATCCCCACAAAAGTCCTCCCCAATAAATCTGCCAAATTTAGTGAGATGCACGCTCTTCCCAGACTCCTAAGGCCGCGCTAACCCCACGAAATTTTCATATCCAGTCCCAACATTACTCGTTCCATGTTAAACATATCCACGAATAAAAAGCAAAGAGCCCTTAATTACAGTAAGGACCTCGAATTCGTTCAGTAAGACTGGTAAATTTGCGGGTCTTCTGTACTTATCAGCTCGCCAAACGTCTTAAAAGCTTCGATTGAAGTTTTCAAGTTCACTATTCGTTTTCAGTGCCTGAGAGCTCGAACCCGTGCTTTTGCGTTTGCATGCAATCCTCATTAATTTAACTCATATTACTTTACGTTTACAATATCCCGTGTGACAAATAAACGTAGAGATGCTCGATTCTCTGGTTTAAATCATAAGTTCTTGATCTTTAAACATTACATCGACGCGTAATTTTTGAGTTTCGATAACAGTTTTCGATTTGACGAAAGTGAACGCTCGGGGAAAATTCGCGATGTGCGATATGAGTAACTTCTTCCTCGACTAATCATTCTGAAGAATTTCTTCCACAAGTGATCATTTCTTCAGCGTCCGTTGTTTCTCTGCATGCTCGACAGTTTTCTCTTCCACATAGAGTCCTTTCCTTCGCCGAACGCTGTTCATATATTTTCGGGCTTGATTTTCTGAATCAGCTTTCTCGCCGAAATGTGTGTATTCCTCCTCTGTTGTGGGAACCCAAAAAGGGTCAATATCAACAACCTGCGATGAAAGAAGCAACAAGGATCAACAAAATTACTTCATTAAAATCAGGATGATGACTTCCTCTGACCCTTACGCTTTCTCCAACCCCCCACCCCCTCCTCCCACGGTATTTTGTCAAGCTTCCCTGACAGTCCACTAGCACTCCTTAAACTCCAAGGTGGAGAGGGGCATCATGACGGTAATGGTCTTGTCCAAGAACACAACACATTGAGCGGGTCGGGGCTCGAGCCAAACCTCTCTAGTGAGTGGCCTTTCGTAGAGGTTTGACTGTATCAAATAAAGCCTTCAATATACAGTGAGGTTCTACGATACCACCAGAAACAAAGGACTGAAATTCTAACCTCCCAATGGCTAAATACAAGCTGTGGATTCGCCAGTCCGCTTGTTCGCTTTCTTATTTCTTCCGCAAATCCAAAACTTTCCGCTACCGGAAGTACGGCTGTAACGTCAAACACGTCTGAACCTTCCTTCATTTCCTCCTTCAGTACCCGTCCCTCCCGTTTGGCTAAAACCGCGTACATTCGTCCCAGGACCTCCGCTGTCGTTTGAATGTCACATGTGTACATAGCTGCCATGAGGCGAACTGGCTGAAGCAAAAAAGCGCGCCTGCAGCCTTCCTTGACGGCGGACATCAGCTGTCCAGAAAATGGTCCGAACCTATCAAGTCTTTGTGATGGAGCATTTTTCGAGCTGCTATTTTCAGATTCTGTGGAAAAATTTTTCGGATACTCGATCTTTTCACCGCTCATTTCGTTAATTTTTTCACTGTCTTTGCATGCTTTTTTTTCGTCAATATTCCCGTCAACATTATGATCTTCCTTCTTCGATACACGTTCCTGCCCTAAAGTCTTTCCTCTGCTCATTCCAGCGATACCAAGGATGTTTGAACCAGCCTCCAATGAAATCCAATTTTCTACGACAAAGCATACTCCCATCAAGGGTTCCTCGCAGAGCGGACCAGCTAGAGTTGCCAGCTGAAACCCACTGACGATACTGTTATCATATTCGCGGTAACTGCTTTCTGATGATGGACAAGTGCTTCCTATTGCGACCAAAAATATATATAAAAGTCACTGCAGTCGCTTTTTCAACATTGCAAAAGAGTGTTGTAATTTAGCCGTGTTTTACTACTTTTCTTCGCCGTTACACCAGAACTTACTTTCCGATTGTGAAAATAATCAACAAAATAACTGTAAGACAAGTATTATAAAAACGCTTAAAGGCGTTGCAATTTTTCTTTCAACAATTTCTCCCCTGAAAAAAACAAAATACAAGCACACGGCTATTTGCCAGCGGACTATCGGAGAATAACAATTTCATATTATGATGATCAAAGTTGAAAGCATTCAACTTGCTTTATTTAGATCGCAAAGGAAATCAACGTCAACAAGGAAATGTGTCAAACACTGAGCTCATAAAGTAGAGAAAGGAAGGGAACACAAAACAATCAGTCAAAAAGTCCAACTTACCAAATAGACCTGAACTTTGCCACATGGAAGGCCGTTTGTAGCCTGGTATTCTATTCAGCAAAACATTGCTACCAATTCTACGTGGACCAAAAGCCCAGATATCATCCGCAGCTCCATCCCACATAGTTCCCGCTTCTTTAAAAGCAATGCAGAGCTCTTCATAGAAACCTTTCAATGCTTCTCTGGTAGGAAGTTTAACTTGATCTACCAATTGCTTCCGTTCTGCTAAGCTCGTGGCTGATGACACTGTCACTAAGATTTTTATCAAATCACTTTTCTTCTCAAGTAATTGCGTAACATCGTCAGGCAAAGGCAAAGCCCTCACTTGGACACTACAGAGTTTGTTGGCCGTCTTGATTTCAATGATTCCTCTGTCTTTATCCAAGACGTTTTTATCCATTTCCTCTCCTTCGATGTCGATTTCTTTCGGCTGGGTCGAATTCGTTTCGCTGATAATAGCTTCGTTGACCCTATCTACAGTGGGAGGAACAACGATAGTTTCTCTGAACGGAACGATGGGCGCTGATACATTAAGTTTAATGCCAGCAAAGAGCTTCTCTAGGTCATCAATACACCGCTGAAGGTGAACTTCCCCAGCGCCCACGATCACATGTTCACCTTAAACGAAATAACAAAAGATTTGTTTTGTGCTTAACATATGATGTATGGAGCTGATAATAATAATAGCAACCTTACAATATCAATAGTAATGGTAATGATCAAAATCGTAAAATATTAATCATAATTCTAATAATGATATTAATTAATTAAAAAGTGGTTAATAATAACAGACAGACTTCAGCAAATTTAATAAAGTTTATCACGACTTCTCCGTTCCGTGCGGTTTGGTCGTTTTTTATAGCTTTTCCCTGCCGTTGAGGCGTTCCACTACAAAAAAAAACACCCTATAACAGCAAAATCAAACTAAAGGTGATGCTATGAGGTCACACAAAGCTGGTCGTAATAATAAGGGAGGTCTGGTATGTCTTTGAGTGGTTGCGACGCGTAATTGGTTCCTGTTTGGGAGACTCGTAATCCAGTTGGTTAGTGTGCTTGGCTCCCGATCGATGTAATGGGCCTGTAGGATCCTGACACCTAGAAACTTACCAGTTTCCTGCACTAAAGTTTCAACACAAGGATCCGCCTGGTTAAGTAGTCTCATTCCCCTTGCGAGCGCAGGCATGTCAGCCGGGTGAACTGGCTCTACTGCGACGCGAACGATAGGACGAGCCTCAATTGGAAGAGCAGTGAATGGCGGACAGGTAGCAGTGCTGGAAATTGTAGCAGACTTGAGCACGTGACTCTCAAGGCCACCAATCCCCAGGACATTCCCGGCCGGAACAGAGTCCAGAGCTTCGAGCTCTCGTCCCATGAGTAAATAGAGGTCTTGCACGGCGAAGGAAGCCATATGTTGATTTGTACCTCGATCAACAGACTTCGCCACTGAAAGGCCCTCCTTGGCCTCTTCTTTATTACTAATTAAAAAACGAGAGATGAAAAAAGAGAGCAAAAAATACGTAAGAAATCTAATAAAAGGTAAGTGACAAACGACTTTCTACAAAGACAACAGAATAACTACTTAGATTCTAACGTAAAGTATAAAACGCATTTGACTGGCATCGCATCCAAGGCCAAAGTAGCATGGACATTCTATATCTTTGAATACTTCACACAAGCGTGCTTATAAGAATTGACCTATTTTTAAATAAGCAAACCGGAATATTTCTTCTGACTCAATTGCCAAAGCTAGTAGCGCTAGCTTTGACTTATTAGTACTCTTGACGTTTCCGACGACCAAAGAACTTGTCAAAATAAGTTGCATAAAATGAAAAAAAAACAGCCTATACAACGTGAAACCCTGTACCTGGAAGCGTCAGATTGGCCTTGGTCCTCGAGCGGCACTAATTGTTTATCCAGACCCTCTCGTGGATCATGTTTAGGGCCCAGCACGTACAGCCGCTGACCCTTCTTGATGGTCCCGCTATAAACCCGTGCGAATGCTAGCACGTGACTTTTCGGAGTCTCTTCATCTTCGGTGAGCTTTAAAACCTCGGTGCTTTCGTTCTCTTTGTTTTCTTTACCTGCTGCTGGTTCCAAATTAAGAGGAGTGCCATTTTCTAACCCAGCATTATTTGCCATCATCTCAGCATGTCTTTTTCGCGCTTGCTCGCGTCGAGCAGCAATTTCTTCTTGAGTCAGTGGCCTTAAAAGTGAATATAAAGTTGTGGCATTTGTGGCAGAACACCTCAAAAGCGTTCGTCAGGCAAATAGCTGGACATTTCAGTAAATCTTGGAGATTTCATGGAATAAAAATGTAACAAACGTCAAATAATAAAGTATTAGTTCACCTCTTACGATGTTTGGGCAGAGCACTATCTTCGACAGCAAACATTTTAGAAACAAAGACTATAACTGGAGCATCGTCTGAAGACCTGCAGGTCAGAAAATCTGAAGGAAAAAAGAAAACGTATGCCATGGAGCATTTCAGAAAACAGCAAAACAGTTCTTGACTGACTATCAGAACTGGCGCCGTGTGGTCAAGGAATGAATAACCACAACAGGGCCAGCAGAGTAGAAATTCTAGACGCATAGACGCCCAGAAACGAGAAAGACAACACCAAGAGAGCCGTATGGCTGTGGACTACAGAGGGAAGGTAAAATGCATCAATTACAGCTACTGCAAACCAGCCAATCACAACGGGGAATAACCAGTCGATCTTAACACTTAAAGAAGACTCGCAGGATGCCCTCGAAACGTCGCAATCCATAAGTATCCATAATCTTAATTAATCCATAATCCATAATCCAAAAAAAAAAGAGAGAGAGGTAAAGAAAACACTCACCATTTTTCAAGCGTTGTGTCTCCTCAGGTAAGGAATCAAAAGTCCTGAGCCCACTACACATCAGCTTTTCCACTCTCTCATCACTAATCTCCTGCGGATTGGGAAGCTTCTCCACCACCACAGTCAGCATAGAGCGGGACAGAGGCAGCCACTGATCAAACAGAGCCTTGAGATGTACACGGCCGTCTGTGTGCCGACTGTCTCGGGCCGATATTTTCAGATTCAGCGATTTGACTATCTGTTCCGTTTTAATTTTGTCCCTGTGAAGGAAGTCCAACAGAATTTCACCTGCTCGATTCGCGCTATAAACTTAACGCTATTTGTCTCAAAGGCAGCCTTACCAGAGAGAGTGAAAAATGCATATCTGAACGATAATTTTCGGTCATTTTCAAGTTCAGCATAGTTGAACTTATTGCTCCTCCCCCTGGAGGGGAAGGGAGACTAAGTGGCCTTGTGATTAGTTTGCTAGACTCCAAAAGGTCTGGGTTCAAAACCTGGGCAGGTCATTGTGTGTTCTTGGGCAATACGCTAACGGGTAACTCCCACAATGCCTCTCTCCACCAAGTGGTACAAATGAGTACCAGCAAATTGTCAGGGAAGCCTGATGAAATGCTGGAGACGTAACTTTGCAATTGACCATCATCCCATCCAGGGTGGAGTAGTAATACGTCTACTCGCTTTGCGCCATGGAAACTGAAATAAACTCCAGCTGGGTGTGTTAATTGGCTTCAGTACAGACTTTACCTGCCTACCTACCTAACTGAATGGGATAGTTATCCTGCAGCATTTTGCCAGGTTGTCCTGACAATTTTTCTGTACCCATTTAGATCGCTGGGTGGAGTGAGAAACTGCGACAGTAAAGCGTTTTATTCAATTCAACAAACAAGTTACCAAGACCCAGCAAGGTCTTGAACCTAGAGTTCATTGCATATAATGTGTTAGGCCATCACGACACCTGCTACCAGGGTCTCGCTAACAAGAACGTACACAATCATCATCTGAGGAAAAATGCCTTAATTAATATAAAACCAAATTATGGTGAATACTAAAAAAAAAAGGAAATTTACTGACAAAAGTGAAGAGAACTACTGGTACATGTATCTTGAATGTGTGAGGATTACAAGATTAAACTTACTTTTTCAGCACAGCATCATAGACAGCCCAAATGTTCTCCAGTATAAACTGAACAAACAGTGGCTTCTTCGCTTTAGCTTGGGCACCTTTTAAAATCCTTTTGGATTTGTTATGAAGATAGAAGTCACCCCACAGGGTGTTGGAGAGAATGTGCTTGCTGATACCAAGTTTATTAGCATACATTTCCGCAAAGTCATCAATGCTAGGAAACAAATGTATCATGAATCAAAAACATGACCAAAAGTGGACAAGTAAGTGTTCAAATGTCAAGGCATTTATGTTCTTCAAAAAAATTCATACAAAGTTAGAGTTTAAACTTATTTTGTTTTTCATAAAGGAGAAGAAATAAATAGCTACACAAAATGAATCACAAAGGAAGGATTAATACTATGAAAGTCAGAGCCTGCTTCTTAACCTAAAGATATAATTATAATTTATTCCTGAAAATATAGGAATGAAATTTGAGTATGAAATAGTCATTAATTTTGAGAAAAAAATGTTGTGCTACATTAGAGGGCAAGAGAAATGATTAGTTAATGATCGAATATAAGTTGGTATGATTAGGTAAACCAGTTTTAAAAAGCTAACCTTTTTAAGCCATAGCCCTTCTTGAAATGTCAGTTTCTCAATAATTTTTCAGTGGTTTAATTGTCTTTATCAAAAAATAATTGATAACCGACCTCCTTATTGCGCAAAAGGTTTTACTGTCATGCTACTGCACCACCTGTCGTCAACCTTACCTGAAACCCCACCCATCAATTGCACTTGTAAAGAGAACATTTCCTAAGTCAGGTGAGAAGTATAAAGATGAATCATCTGTTTCTTCAAGACCTGAACTCCAGTCATCAATGGACACAGCTGCATCATCTGTAAATTTGTTTTCATTCTGGGTCTTTCCTTGTGCCTGTTTAGCAGAACTTTTCTCTAAAACCTCAGTTGTGAAGAGAGCAGCTGTTATGGCGTTAACCTGAGCACAAGATGACAAATTCGAAAGAGGTTAGTTACAATTAACTAGATCTTTCACTCCCAGGAATGAAAGAGTTTTAATTTCTCCTTACAATATCACTACTAAAACAACTTGGTGATTCAGAGTAAAGACACATATCAACTAGGGGATATCTGATTCAACACCAAATTCTCCAAACTAATATCATAAGATATGGGTGGCAAACAATAAGGGGAATGATGATTGAAATCTTGAAAGTGAAAGCCTCACAGATAAAATTGTCCATACATTGTACTCGTGTATATATATATATAGAAAAATAAACACTTAATCTTCTCATTATTCAATGTACAGGGGAGGGGAGGGGTGCTAAAAAGATTTTTCCTTCAAAGTAATTTCCTCCAAAAATGTTTCCTAATTAATGTGGTTCAAAATGTACTCAACATCAACTTTCTCAAATTCTAGGAAATGCATTGGCAAAACCAAAGGTTATTTGACATCAGCATGTTCCTTAACACACCAATCCCTAAGAGTGACTTGCATCTAATTTATCTGCACAATATCACCCCTGAATCAAATGTTTAGGTCACAAGAAAAGACAAAATGATAACAAACAAAAAGTAGGTTTGATTGTACAACAAATTCTCCTTGCCAGCACCTTGGGAAATGTATAGAGAACTGTATGGAGAATATGAATGCTGATGTAAGGGTGCATGGTGCTGTAAAATTAAGTAAAAAAATTTGTCCATGTCAAATACATAGCATTATTATCTTCAAAAGCTTCTTCACCATTCAAAAATAGTTCCCCTCTTTAATTACAAGCAGCTAGATAAGTTGAATGTTCTAGCTCCAAAGTAAGTTGTAGAATAATGTTATCAACTCAATAATCATTGTTTTCACCTTTTCTAGAATCTGCTGTAAATGAAAGTAAGCCTCTGTTGGAGAGTACTTCAGTTCAGTAATCAACCTGTCAATCTTGTTCATAACCAAACAAGGGCGAATATTCTCCAGCCAAGCTTGACGCAACACTACATGAGTCTGTGAAAGTCAGGGTCAGAGATGGTCAAATATAGTAAGGCTTGACTGACTAAAATTTATATTGCAAGAATTTAATGAACTAGTGAGCTTGAGACCTCTATCAAATGATACAAGTTGGCTGAAAAATTAAGCCATAGAAAAATGGCACCAGTGGAGCCTACAAGCCACGTATGTAATTTGCAAGTAGTGTTTGAATAAAGAAATAAATATTAAATGGATAAGTAAACAAAACATAAAAAACTGTTTCTAACCTGAGGGGAGACTCCTTCAACAACATCTACTACAACAATTGCACCATCACAAAGGCGTACTGCTGTTGACACCTGTAAAATGTTTAATATAAACAAACTAACAGATATCCATCAAGCATTTTTCAACAGGCTGAAAAGTAATCAGGGTTTGGTTTGGTTTGGTTTCACTTAACTTTGCTCTTTGGCTGGTCCAGAAAACTCACACCATCTTCTCAATGAATCAGATGCAAAACTAAAAATCGAAATTTGGTCCTGTTTTTCTTTGCCTATTTTCACTTTAAATTCTGATTGGCTAACAATGATGTAAAGCTTTGCTGATTGGTTGCTGGGATTACTTAAGGTTTGGTTTTTTCACACTCAACTGAAAACTGATGTAATTGTACTTTGATAATTAATTAAATCTATTACAAATAATTTTGAAGCACTGACCTCTCAGTGTTAAGATGTAGCAAAGTAAATTTAATACAGACAAAGTTTCTTGTTGTTCTTAACTAATAATGCTGGTATATCTGAACTTCACTTTAAAACATTTTTGTCAGGTATAAAATTATATCACTTAATTGAACTTACCTCACTGGAAAAGTCTACATGTCCTGGTGAATCAATAAGGTTTATTATATATTCTTCCTCACCTAGAAAATAAATTACAGAAAATAACAAAGTAAAAAAAAAATAAGAAAACTTATAATAAACATTATTTACATTGTACAACATGTAATGACTATCATGACGACACTAAATCAACATCTATTTGATTTATCATCAGGTGACAAATCTAATAGAATTGGATTAAAAAACATCTGAGCTTGTATCACAAATGCATTTCTTTTGCATTCTATCAACCCTGATAATTAACTCTTTAACACCTAAACATCAATAAAATGTCAAGAAAACAAGTGATGAGGAAAAAGAAAAATGTTAAAAAGGGGATTATTAGTTGATCTGTTACCAAATTCTCCAGACTAAGATTATAAGAACTGTTTGGCAGGCAGTAAGGAGAACCACTAATTAGATCTTGGAAGTGAAAGTGTAATAATATAGAGGAAAGTTGGGAAAACCACTCACTATCTCAAACATTCACTTGAGGTGATACAAAATGTGTGATTTGCAACATGATACTCTTGCACAAAACCAAAATTTTGGGTTGTTGCCTTCATTGCCACTTTGTCAGCACCCAATTTCTTTTCACATAAAACAAGACAGCGCAAAGTGAGCCTTTAGCAATAAATAGCATTGCAGCTGCACATATGTTTGATGCTCATTTGTAAGTCAGATAGAGATACTGACAACCTATTAAGCATAATTGACATGAATTGGAGTCCCACTGTCATAGCATGTAAGTACACATTACCTTTGGTAAAGAGTAAGGATATAGCACTTGATTTCATAGTTATTCCTCTAAGTTGCTCATCTTCACGGCTATCCATATATCTCAACTAAAAAATCAAAATAAGTTAGTCAAAAAAATCTCCCCACTTAAAGCCCCAATTCCTTTGTTCAATTTTACAGCTAATATACACTGAATTGATGCATCAGGGTTATCTCTGTTGTAGATGGGTACACTTAATCCCAGTGAAGAAAATCTTAGGAAGGGGGTTCACTGACACCTCACTCTTGATA